TGCCTACCACAAAGGCGACCAAATAGCACAGTTTGGGAGGCCTTACATAAAAGTATTGTCTACAATTATTTCAGGGGGAAATTCCTTAACCAGGAATGTAATCTCCTACTTTTCCCATCAAAAGAAATGGAAACTTGTTTGAATGAATTCAGCTAAGCATAACATATAGATATGATACCTAGACTCTAAGCAAGGCTGAGCAGCGAGACAGAGAAATTAACGCTTATTTCACCTGATTAGCCAATTTTTTTTTTATAAAAGTAATTTATTTTACTCAAAGGGGTTTTTTGGGTTATTTGATAAGATTCTTGTAGCCACAACCACTAAATGTGAAACTCTTGAGAGTTACACCACACCAGATCAATGCCCAGTTTTATCAAGACCAATTACACAAAGGAAAAAGGAGCTTAGTTGACAGGTTGAGTTTAACGATCAGTGTCAAATGAAGTAGTTTAGCAACGATCCTCAAAATTTGGAATCCCATTTTAGACGGCATGTTGCATCTAGCTGAATGTAACAAATAGTTAGACATCCTTCCATCAGTACAGTGGCAACAGAGAGGTCATTGTTCTTTCATTCCAATTATAATACACTTCAGCAGAGTCTTTCATAGCTTTTAAGTATCACAGAATGTCTGACATCTGATTAGACTCCACTCATAATGAACTGGTTCATTCTCAAGAAGGAATTGTATTATTTTCTTGACAGAGAATCTACTTTTTAACTTGGAGAGCTTAATTACACAATGAGATACAGACACAGGTTTCTCCGTGTTTCTTTATTGCACAGTCGCACACTAATTTAACAGTTTAAAATACAGCAGCTAGGGGTTTCTTTACATCAGGTAAAAACTGAGGAAAAAGGCCTGTGTCCTAGGAGAACAAAAGGCATTCCCTGTTATATATGTTGTCCGCAAAGACAATTGTTTCAGTAAATTATGATTAGGCAGGTAACATACATTAAAATACACAATGTAATAACTGCCACAAAAACAAGATGCACAAAGAAAAAAGCAAAGATGTGCCAAGAAATACAAGTTAAGACATTCAAAACTAAGGTGTTCAAATTGTAAAGCAAATACTATTGACTATGAAGTTGAGCAGAAAAAGGGACCCTTCCTCAAAAGCAAGCCATGTAGAATTCCAGTACTCTAAAACCCAGCAGATTCTCGTAAGCTCAAAGCAATCTCCATTTCTATAGCTTTCACAGCCAAAAGATACACTCCTGTCAGACTTGCGGTAAAAATACCAATGCAAGCTATCCATGACAGAAGACAACAAAAGACTGGTCAGGTATACGTGGTGGCGTACACCTGAAGTGCACTGGTGTGAAAGGTCTGGAATGTAGGAATACGGATCAAACATTCAAATGCCAAATGAAGTCATTCCAACTATGAAGTCGCCAAGAACAACATTTCTGATAAGAGTGATAGTTAACAGAAATACTGAAAGGCAGTTGGAAGTCAGACCAACACGGATGCAGATCTAAGCTCAAAAACCTTCTACTCCCATTTCAATAAGCTGTCCTCAAAATTATTTCTATTACAGTCTTTAATTCCTAGTACTTACTGCCACAGGAATGTCTCCCAGTACAGTATTAAGTAACGGAAGTGACTACTATGCAAGGACAAATACAAATGTGTGCTTTGACCCTTTTGTATTGTACCATCAGAAAGAAGAGCCTAAAGATTCCTATGCAGACACCTTTCAAACAGAGTTTAACTTACTTGTGCAAAGTCATTACAAATATTAGCTCTAGTCCAACGATCAAATCACACACCCCCCCCGCAACTGAGAGTGTAAGGCAAAAGAATTGTATCCCGTCTCCTGTTTTACATACACACGCAGCCACACAGAATTATTTTTCTTGAAGTTAGCTTTTGCAAGGCCAATACAGTCATTGTAACATAAAAGTTAAAAAAAAAAAAACCAAACCAAAACACCTTTCTGTTCATTTCCAGACTGCTAATTTCAACGACAATCCGCCCTGCAACCGATACTGCCTACCTTAACCAGAGATGCTAAAACAGACATGTAAATGCAAGACTCAAAAAACAGTGAAATAACTGTAACAGAAAATCCCTGTAAAGCTTATTTTTGTAGCACAGTAGAGTTAATTTCTGCGATGGCCCTGTTTCCAGATATTTGACACGATCAGTGCTGAAACTGAAATTGATGTCAGTATACTTAGATGTGATTTTACGTAAATATGTATGGAGTATATAGCTTATTAACCGTATGACTAGATAATACACCTATTCTCTAACAAAACTTCCACAACAATACTTTAACAAAGTAAGTAAATCTCTCTGAGAATTTTAAATAGATCACTGAAAATAGAATATTCAGCATCATCTCTGATGGATGCATGGTGGTGAGCATGTTAAAAAGAGATTTACACATGTAGGAAGAAAATTTGGTTCAGTGGAGCAAACCTAACCATTGAGAACTCAGTTGGGTACGAGCATACTATGGCATTATGAAACATCTGAAGATTAAGCATTTACACCACAGTAGTTCCCTAAGAACAAAATATGTATTTTGTATTGGCACATGCTTGGAAAGCTATAGTAACTAGTGAAACAAGCTCAGTGGATCAGAGGTACACAAAAACTTGGTGAAAATTACCAAGACAACTCAAAAACCTGGAGCAATTGCACGAAGCTTTTTAAAAGACCCATTCATGTATGATAGGGATATTGATGCAGGTTACCTATAGTAGGTAGCCTATAGGCTAGCCCAGTGCTGCTGGAGTCACCTTTCTTTTTAAATGTAAAGGCAACGTTAAGATGTCTTTATATTACAGTTTTTCCTAACTGCTAATAATGAGTAGCAAAAATCTCAAAGATAGACAAGATATGAGCCAGTTCTGAATCACTGCCTTCTTTCTACGGGGTCCTCCTCAGAAAAGTGTTTGCAAAAACAGCACTGAACGAAAACCTCAAGCTTAACAATGACTTGATCACATACGCTCAGGCAGAAAGTACACGAAGTCTTTTCCTATTGCCAGAACTGTAGATGTCCCTTCCAAAACTATTTTGGAACCTGTCATTCTCTGGCAAAACCATCACTGATGTGATGCTGCAGACCAGGAACATGGTAAAAAGTCTGTCTGATGATGCCAAACACTGTATAGTTCAACTGAGATGGTATAGTTCAACCAAGTTGGTATAGATGGTATAGTTCTACAGTGTTCAACCAAGACGGTAAGGTTCAACCAAGCAGTAAGGGCTTGGGAGAGGTAATGAAACTGAAGATATATACTGCTATGTTGAATATACTACACAGTAAAAATAAGTATGCTACACTGGGATAGAAGAGAGATTTTTCTTACATTTACCACATAGAGTCACTCTAAGGTTAAATGGCCCCATTTCAAATTGCCAAGGGAGAAAGGCACAACGTAACAGCCTGAGGTAGGGCTATTAAGGAAGCAAAGGCAGAATCTAGGCACTTAATTGGTTAAACAAGAATATT